TTTTATATTATGTTTGTTATTTTTTTATCACGTTTCAAAGTTTTTAATCGCATGTTGTGGTGTTGGAGAATTGAACAATTGGATAATTTTTTCTATTATTATTATTATTATTATTATTATTATTATTATTATTATTATTATTATTATTATTATTATTATTATTATTATTATTATTATTATTATTATTATTATTATTATTATTATTATTATTATTATTATTATTATTATCGCAAAAAAAAATATTTTTATTTAATAAAAAGCCCGAAGCCCGGCCCGAACCCGTCCGAAGCCCTGTAGTGTTATATGTTTTTGTTTTCTGTTATAAATATTGTAATGTTATATGTTGAATAATGAGAAATCCAATGATTCTCCATCTCTTTTTCTATTATGGTATCAGAGCCTGGTTTTTGCTCCAATTTTTTTTCTTCTCATCAACAATGTTGGTCGGATTCGAAAGTGACAATGAAGATGACAACGATATACTAAATCCAATAGTATCATCGCCTTGAGTATCGTTTTAAATTTATTTTTTCTTTTTTTTTCTTTTTTTCTCCGACGGCGGTGTTCATCACTGTCAACCCTAGTTGATGTGCTACTCTCTTTTTTTTCTCTGACGATATTCGTTTATCGATGTCAACCCTAACCGTTGTGAGCTCTTTAAACATGGCTTTTAGCCTCTTTCGATTGGAAAACTCCGATCGTCGATCCACGTATTTACGTCATTTATTTTTATTCTCTTCTCTTGTCCCGCTGCTAGACTATCACGCATTATGCGTCACGCTTTTGCGCCCATTTTTTTTCTTTTCTCCAGTCTAGTCGCTATATATACCGCAGTTGTTTTTGCGCCATCTTCTTTTTTTCTTTTTTTTCGGCTTTAGCCGCGTGCATTTGCACAATTTATTTTCTTTTTCCGGCACAGCCGCTAAACCACCGCGCCTTTTGCGCTGCCGACATTGTTGTTGCACTACACCACAATACCGTGCATGTGCACCACGCTTCTGCTTCACCGGACTTTTTCAGATCCGCCAACAATCCACTGGTTCCTAGGTTCGATTGTCAAATTCCGTTATTTTCTGGAGAATTCAACCTCAAACAGTTATTTCTCATCTCCTTGAATTTGAGGGGCCGTATAAAGAGATATGAAGAAGATTTGAAAAGATTACGTAATATTTAGATTTGGTTTTATTTCTATATTTTAGATATTTATATTTATTAAATAAGATATTTTATGATTTTGTTTTCTGCTATAAATATTATAATGTTATATGTTGAATAATCAGAAATCCAATAATTCTCCATCTCTTTCTCTTTCTCTATTATGTATAGTTTCATGTATACATGAATAAGAATAGAAAATAATGTAAAAAGAAACTTTGGTAAATAATACATGAATAGGAAATAATTTAAATAATGTATATATGTAATTATTTTTGGTATGCATGTGACATATAGACTTAAGTAAATAAAAATTGAAAACTTTATATTAGAAAATAATGTAAAAAGAAAAATTAAAATTCTAAAAACTTTATTTTTATTCCGTGTATACATGAATAGGAGTAGAGGAATAGAACCATCCCTAACATTATTTTTGGTATGTATGTGACATATAGACTTTGGTAAATAAAAATTAAAACTTTTATATTAGGAAATAGAAAAAAAACCACACCGAACTTTACAATTTTGACAGAAAAAACACCAAACTTTGATTTTTGTTAAATAAATATTAAAATTTTAAATGAATTTAATAAAATACTAAACTTTTTAAATGATCCAAAAAAATATATAAACTTTTATGTGATTGTCAAAAAAATAATAAACTTTTTAAATGATTCAAAAAAAATACATGAATTATATACAAGTGTCAAAAAAACCAACGACAGTAATTTGATGTATTTGCATCTTCTTACGTCACGTTAGCTCATTTGTTTATTTCGACAATCGCAAAAGAGTTAAGTGTTTTTTTTTTATTTAAAAAATTTAATGTTTATTTGACAAAATCAAAAGTTTAGTGTTTTTTGTAGTGAAAAGTTCGGTGTTTTTTTTTCTTAGATTTTTCTTAGAAAATAATGTAAAAAGAAAAATTAAAATTGTAAGAACTTTAAAAATAATGTTATATCTTCCTCTATTTTTAGTGTACAAATCTTCCTAAGCCATTTGATAGGTTTTATATTATCTTTTCTCATTTAATTCATCCTAATTCGTCTCTAAACATTAAACTCAGAACCAATCTTAAATTCTAAGTCCTGATGTTGGTTTAGAAATTTATAATTTATGTTTTAAGGTTTAGGATTTAAGATTTAGGATTGGTTTGAGGTTTATGGACAAATTACGAAGACTTAAACGACAAAAACGAGGAAAAAGTGAGGTTAAAAACTATCAAAGCGAGCCAATAAGATTCGTGTAG